AAACATAGCTTTGAAAACTAAGAGTAAAATATATAACAGTTATACAAACTCAAAATATTTTAATACCTCTAGATGTAGCATATAGAAAATAACAAAGATCATAATCCAGAAGGCAAGATAAGTTGCTGCATGGTCCTGGATAAAGAATAAAGAGCTCTAAAATGGTAATTATAGGGGCCAGGGAGATGGCTTAGTGGAATAAGCACTTCCCTGGCAGCGAAAGGGCCTAAGTTCAACCACCAGTTCCACAAGAAAAACAAGGTGTCTATCTAAAATGGTAGTTATGCAACATTGCCTAAAATATATTAGATGAACCCTATTAAAAGGTCATTGAAGATTTCCACAAAACAATATCGATCTTATATCAATTTATATGCATATTTTTCATATATGTGTGAGTCTGTATGTGTGCATAAAAGACAAGGAAGAAGTAATATAAAGTCAATGGAAAATGGAAATGCACATTTTAAAGTTTCTAATACTAGGAGAAAATATCATACCACATCTTATAAGGAGATTGTAAGTCAAAGATACAGTATAAATCACAAACAAAAATTAAGACAAAACAACATTCAGAAATTAATTAAAATTAAATATTTAAAAAAAAAAAAAAAGAAAGCTAAGGAGCAGGCCTGTGAATGTCCTCAGACAAGGAGGCCAAAACAAAAGGGGTTGGGGAGAATAATGTTGATAACTTAAAACACGAGATTTATGAAGAAAGCTTTCTTACTGTTTTAGCAAGAGCCTATAGTATTAAGCACTTCCATCTTTTAGCAGCACGGCTTCCAGCCCCAGTGCTTTGGGTACAGAGATTTCTCTCAGCCCCTAAGTATACTACTGCAGCGGCTCTCAGGGCACAGCCCACAGCGCCATGAGGACCCCCCTCAACCACAGACACCTGGGCCTAACTGCAGACTCCAGAAGGAATGCTTAGGGAGTGTAGTTTTAGGAACCTGCGTCTTTATGAGCTCCTAAGTAATTTTCAGGTATACTAAAATTTTAGAATCAATGCTATATATAATTAAAGATAAAAAGACCAAGAAGGTAACCGGCCAAGAATTGAAGTGAGTTTGAAATCTTGACAGGTCCCTGGGGATGTGTTCAGCCTTTGCGGGCAAAAGGAAGGCAGAGCAACACTCTGAGCTGGTCTATTCTGGGAAATGGCCTTAAAAAACTATTTTGAAAAATGAGGTAAAGGGGATTCTAATTTGCATCCAAACTCAGCATCTTGAAGGTAGATCAGGAACCTGAAAGCAACACGGCATCTCTTTGGGGTAAATCACGGTTTGGAAAAGCAGCATGCTAATTGGCATTGAGATTTCAAACCAACACTGAACTTTCAGTTCATGTGCTTTCTCTTACCCTGTAGTTGGAGGAAGAACAGGAAAAGACAATCTCCTGCTGCAGTGTGATCTGCACCTTGAGATCACTCCCATTGCCTTTACCAACACCTAAGCACAATTAAAAAGATTTGCCGGTTACAACAAAGTCAAAATGTCTTGCAATTGACATAGTAGATTTAAAAGAGAAAAATGATCCTAGTTAACAGGATGGTGATATTTAATCATTTGGTCCTCCAAGGATTTTGTCTCTGAAAGAGAAGCCTTCAAGGCCAGTTCTGACTCCCAAAGCAGAATGTTTTAGACTGGACAGAAAGAAAAACGTGTAGTTCAGCTTCTGAGAGAATCCCACTGCTTTACCTACCTAGAAAAAAACAAATTCAGGAAGTTGACTTGCAACTCTTCTTGCTACTATCTTTCTTTCTTCAGACTTCTAAGGATGGTATTTTTAAATAGCAGATAATCTAAACTCCTTTTGCCCTGCTTTCAATCTAGTTTCTAAAGCAATCTCTGGAAATAGAGGACAGTTGTACCCAAGCATTCTCTTGCTGTGCAGCGCTCACCTACACACATTCCCTCCAAATGACCCCACTTCCTTTAGCACTTCCCCAGAGAACTGCTTTCTGAAACTTTTAATTTAAACTTTTAAACATGGTTTCCAATTAACTTCATCCTCTTTCCTTTCAACCCTGCATATATCACCTGAACAAATATTCTAATAAGTCATACATTATTCAGTCTTAATTTTTCATTTCATATTCTGTCTTCATTTCATTTCATTTCGTTAGCACCCGGTTACCCATGTGCCATTAGGAGTTGTTGTCTCTTGCCTCAGTTCCCTCTGAGCCATTCTGGTTGCAGATTTCCCTTCCTCTGATGTCTACCAGAAATCACTTAAAATGTAGGAATAAATGAAATCAAGGAATTACCACATGCCAAGGACTCAGTATTGATTTCAATTCTCATATATTTAAACATTTTAAACCAAGTTAAGTGTAGCATTATTGGGAGGTGGGAGAAAACTTTATGAGATGGGGCCTACTGGGAGATTTTTAAAAATGTTTTTAGTACAGGGTCTACAGGGTCTCACTACACAGATCAGACTTGTAGGGATCCTCCTGTTTTCAACCTCCCAAGTGCTGGGATTAGCCACCACACCCAGTCTCAATCACTCTCTCAGCATGCCTCAGAGCGGGGCCAGCACTGCAGGCCAGAGATTGAACTCCAGTCCCTGACTAAGCAGGCACTTTAGTCAGCTGAGCTATCAAGCCAGCCCTTCTAGTGGGAGCTCTGAGGGCAGTGGGGGCCATGCCCTTGAAGAGGACCTTGGGACCCCACCCTCTTCCTTCTTTTGCACCCTGGCCAGGATGTAGTCTGACCCATTGTGTATTCTCCCTCTCTCCACAGACCCAAAGCAACAGGGCAAGCTCATCATAGGCTGAAGGCTCCGAACTGTGAGCCCAACTACCAAAGCTTTTTATCTCTGTAAGTTGATGCATCACAAGTATTTTTTACAGTAACAGGAGCCCGATAAAACTAAATGCTTCTGGTCTGCACACATACTTGTATTCATACGGTTAATCCCATTGGAAACAGGAGAAACAGAGGCAGCGTACACACCCAAGCTTAATACATGCTGTCAAACTACAGAGTTGCTTGTACAGCTGGGTTTAAATTTCTTTGTGGAGGGCCGGCCAGATAGCTCAGTAGATTATAGCGCTTGCTTAGGCAGATTTCAGCAGCTGAGGTTCGATCCCCGGGTGTGCTGGCCCCGCCCTGGGGCACACTGAGATGACTGAAATGGGATGTGGTGGTGTGTGCCTGTAATCCCAGCATTTGGGAGGCTGAGAACAGGTGGATCACTACAAGTCCCATCTGTGTAGTATGACCCTGTAGACCGTGTAGGCTCTGCACTAAATACAAATAAATAAATAAATAAATAAATAAATTTCTTAGTGGAAGAAAGTGCTCCAGCAGCAGGAAAGGCAGCAAGACAAAGCTGTTTCCGGGCTCCTAACATCTATTCCAGGAGACTGCATCTCCCCTCCTCCCCAACGGAGAGCTCTGCCTCAGTGGGGTCCCGAGGCAGCCCAACGGCAAGGCTCTGTGCCTGGCAATTCACACGGGTCCTGCGATGTGGCCTGGTGGGCTTCGTATCGGGTTTACAGTCTAGAGCGCCTTTTCACACAGTTTCTCAAGCAGTCACCTGCCAGAGCAGGCTGGATTCCAAGACTCAGCCTGCACAGTGCTTGTTCAGAAATTAGGCCCAAACTCCCCCCACACCCCAAACAAAGCCAGAAACCTTCCTAATCTGTTTCAGTTCTCCACTAAAATTCCTGGGGGAAACTAACCTATGTCAGTGATTTGGAAAAAAAAGCACTTTACAATTTAATGAGCAATTGTCCATTTTAAAGGCTTTTAGTAATTGGATAAAATATCAAAGAACATATGTCTAGATCTTATCTTTGTGACTCCTCGGAAGGCTGGGCATCCTAAGCTATCTGGGCGGATGCTAGCACCCTGCACCATGGCCTACCAAGTCCCGTGCTCAGCACCTCCTGGGCATGTGGCTGGCTCAGCCTCTGCTCAGAGCCTTAGGCCTCCTGCTGCCTCCCTTTGCCCGAAGGGGGCAGCAGCACAGAGAGTGGTGGAGAAACAGACAGGGCTGGAGCCTGTGCCCTCTCCCTGCTCTTTTTCTCACATCCCAGAAAAGAACAATCTGAGCAGTTGTCTGCTTTCCTGGGTGAGGGTAATTTTCAGTCACAGCTTCTCCTCTTTCCTGAAATTGTATTATTTTTATTTTTTTCTTTTGAACATTTTTCATTTTAAAATTCATCAACCTAACAAAAGTTTGAAGTAATCATGTCATTAATATAGAAGGTTTTACTGATTTTTTCATGTAATGCTAAAGGACATTTATTGCAACACATGAAAAAACACTCTCTATAGTCTAATTTTATCTTTCTTATGTGTACATGCAAGACAGATATCAGAGCCAGGTGATCAACATGCATGATTTCTACCCTCATCAGTCATATCAGCCCTTTCCATACCTTTTTTTAATATTTTAATAATTTTATTGAGAAAGAAGTAGCAATGAATAATTTCAAAGCATGTTAGTAGTACAGTTATAATAATTAATACATTGCATATTGTTGTCTTTGTAGTATAAGATACAGACATGATATCTTGTCTAAACACTATTAGTTCAAACCTTCTTCTCATTGAACTAAGAGAAAGTAGCTGTATATTTATGCTATTTTGTATATACAGATATATATATTTTTTCTACTACAAAATGGTCCATTTATATCCTGACATTTTAGAAGCAGCTAAATTGGCAGAAAATAAAGGAAAATGCTTGTTCTTCAGGTATTTAAGGCATCTTGATGGAGATGAGAGAGGGTTACAGGAGGAGAGAGGGGGAAGGGAGAAGGGGTGACAGGGGACAAGGGCCTCTGAAAGGAGCAGGTGAGAAAATGGTATCGGGCACCTTGGCCAAGATGAGCCCTGAGCTGAGGAGCAACAAAAGGAAGCTGCAGGACAGCAAAGGGCTGAGGACACAACCACACGTCACTGGCCACGGGCGGCTTCAGGGCAAGAAGAGTTCACAACAGAAGGAGTGGACGGAGACGGCAGTGGAGCTAAGATTACCTGTATCTTCAATGATGAGCAAAGCTCCTTCAGTTAGTGGGAACCCTGGCCCTCCTGCCCAATCCTTCCATTGTAAATATGGCACTTACCATGAATTGAATAAATAATGAATTTTTTTATCTTGAGTACTTTTCTAGGAGGAAGAGTCCTGTTGTACAAAGTTGTCAGTTTCTCAAAATAGTCAACGTATCTGTTCTGTAAAGCAACAGAAGCTTTGACTTAAGTGGGGATGAAAAGTTTAAAGTCAGCCTTCCTCGTTTTCTTCCTCCCTGGGTCCCTCCTTCCTCCCACAATCCCTTCCTCTTCTCACCTCTTTCCCTTCTTTCTTTTTGCAAATAACTCTTTAAAGGCACATTTACATAAAGGGTACATCTATTTATAGGTCAGCATTGCATCACCCAGCATTTTAATGTATGCTGCCCCATGCTGTGGGTAAGGGACATGGAAAGAACCAGTTCCCGGGCAAGGGGCTACCTGTACTTAAAGCGCAACTGATTAGAACTAAGAACAGCACAGCCACAATACTATCGACCTGGGTATAAAACTTCACTGTGACCAAGTCAAGGGAAGGTTTATGATGTGCTACAGCCTCGTCCCACTAATGGGAGGAAGGTGTCTGCGAGCCCTGCAGGGAAAGCCTTCCTCGTGGTCTAGGAGGGCAGTCAGTCTTTGTTCCTGCTGGGTACAGTGTCTTTTCACTTTCCACTTTCCACTTCTGCTTTTGCAAGGAAGCCCTGGAATTCTCCTAGCCTCATCATTTCCCTCTGGCAAGTCACCCACAAGGTTTTCCGCGGACTTACAATGCTGAATCAATTGGACAGTGCTAATTAGATTAAGTGGCATAATTTCCACTAGAAATGTAACTGGCAAGGGAAACAGAATTTTAAAAATTAGACTTTTTTTTTTCCTTTTAGAGATAAGCAACTTCCCTAAACTTTTTCCTGCTGAGCCCACAGCCAAAACCCTCTTCTGCCCAGCCCTAAATAAGTGACGGAATACAAAGGTGCCAGCCCTGGGAGACCAGGAGCCTGCTGAAAGAGGAGGAGCTGAAGATGGCTGGAGGTCATGAAGCAAGTGTGAAGCTCTGTACTGTCTGTCTGTGTCACCTGCTCCATTCCTTACTATAAAAGACCCTTGACCCCTGTAAGTGGCAAAGTGGTGATTTGAGGCAAATAGGCCACTGCATTTCCTTGGAGCTAGCTTGAATTAAGTCCTTTCTCCAAAAGGAGACTGATTATATAGCCTACTCTGATCTGGTCAGCAGCAAGCAGATGAACTTAAGCATATGAGCCTAAGGGGCCAGTGACAGAAAGAACCATTTTGAAACAGGCTCTTGCAAGCTCTAACAAAGGGGTAGATGCAATGCGGTCAGTATAAAGAACCACAGTGCAGCAGCAGACTGTGGCAGCGGCTAAGAATTATCACCCACCAGAGGGCACTCTGTCCTGGGCCTCAACAACACCAGTGTTAAAGCTGCAGCTCAGTCCTAAGGTTGTTTTTGGTGCCAGTGAGTCAGGAAATGCAGCGGTTGTGGCCTGGCTGTGCTAGTTCTGAGCCAAAGTTCAGGAGACTGGATGAGGAGCCAAGGGAAGAGGAAGAGCAGATACATGGGGAAAGGTGTTGCAGCAGATGCACTTAACATCCTTCTGGTTTCCACAGCAGGTTCTCCACCTTCCACTAAAGGACCCACTAAGCCCCCAGGATGCTTTTGTCCTCACACTTCCTTCTTGAAGCTTAAAAGGGGTTTGCAGGAGAAGTTCATACAGCTCCCCCCAGTAGGTGCTCACTACAAATAAAGAAGTAGTGAGGTCTGGGCACTCACTACTAGGGGGGAGGTCTGGGCATGGAATACAAAGGGTACAAAGATTGGTAAGCCATGGGCTAATCCTTTAAATGGGAAATAAAATACCTACTCAAAACAGCTAGAAAACAATGTACAGTGACTTAGTCTCTAAAGAAACTCAAAAGGCTGTAAGAAGTGACAAAGCAAGGGACAATTTCAGGCTGGGAAGGAAAAGAAACTTGACTGGCATGATGGTGTAAAGTGCCAAGAGACCTCGAAACAGCAAGGCCCTAGCGTGGGGGAGTGCAGATGAACATTGTGAGAGAAAGCTTTATGGCAGAGGGCCAGCTCTAGGCATCAAGCTTGGAGCTGTGCAAGGGGCCGTTGTAGATTTTGAGCACAGCAATGGCCCGATTGGAGCTACCCTTGGGTGAGCTCATATGCCATGGTTAGCTTATGGAAAGTGCTCTGGCGCCCCATTTTCTGGGACCACCACAAAGCTATTTTTCTTCTCCTTACTTCCAATAAACATTCTCCTAACATCTTCCTTTTCATCCATGATTTCAATCTTGGACATAATAAGATAAAGTTTGTATAGTGATAGCTGTTCAATCAGGTGTTTTCAGTTTTTATGCTAGATGCCATTGTGAGATACTTATGAGGTAAAATGATCGATGACTGGCATTTCTTCATGATAATCTATGTTTAGGGAAAGAAAAAGCAAAGAGTGATATACAGGAGATTGAGGGGAGTGGAAAGGAATAGAAGAAACATTGGTTATGGGCTGATATGATTAGTATAAGAAGCTTTATTATATGGTCCACTTGACTTCTGTGTATGTTTGAAAATCCCCACAATAGAATGTTTCTGGCATAGATTTCACACGGGATTACAAATATTAAATGAGGTGTATGCATGCCACAGCCTCTGCTATATAATAGGATTTTTGAAAAAAATCTGTCCTCCTTTAATTCTTTTTCAAAATATAGCATCTCCCACTTTTTCTCCCCTTGAAAGGAATCATCTAGAAATAGTCTTTGCAATATCTCTTGGAGGTTCAATTGCTTGATGACTTAACAGGGGTTTATGAAAGATTCAGTTCCTTTGTTCAGGAAAATCAAAGTCCAGTGACTGGAGACAGCCTGAAGGGGTTGGAGCCTTAGGAACTAGACCTTATTGCTTGGAGGGAAATCATTTGCTTTTCTGTTTTTTAGGTTGAGACAGGGTCTCACTATGTAGTTGAGGCTGTCCTTAAGCTCATGGGCCTCAAACCCTCAGTGTTCCTCCTGCCTCAGCCTCCTGAGTGCTGAGATTGCAGATGTGCACCACCATGCCCCGCTGGAAAGTCACCTCTAGAACAACAACAAATAGAAAATGGAAGGCAGACTGTTCAGGGGATTATAATGCGCTATCCAAGCAGAGAAAGGTCTTAAACATGACTCAGCTCCTGCAAGGGATCAAGGCCTGCTGCAGGGTGCCCAAGTGCGGCTGCCCATTGCCACAGAAGAATCTAAAAAGATAAATAACAGGTGCCAATTCTAACCTATTCGTTTTGCCACCACCCTCCCCCCAAAAGAAGAATGCTTACCTGAGAAGGAGTTTCTATTCCTTGAAATTTAGTGCTGCTGGTTTTATCTGTTCGTCGTTCCCCAAAATAGTAAATACTCTCCTATGGAAAAAGGGTTAATACATTGGTGGTTCCACACACTCTTCCCTCTCTTACGTCATGCCTTGTTAAAATCTATGCAGGCACATCATTTCCTTAAGCCAGTGACATTTGGGTAGAGGTTATCCAAAGAAACGAAGTGAATAAAGCCACCTAAGACCCCAAAATTCATAAAGACATGGAATTTGAGAGTTGAAAAGCCTTAAAAATTCTTTTGTTTGTCTTTTGGAGACAGGGCCTCACTCTGTAGTTCAGGCTGGTCTTGGCCTAGGCTGTAAAGCAATCACAGAGCTCTGCCTATCTCAGCCTCCCGAGTGCTAGGCTTACAGGCACGTACCATCATGCCCAGCACCTTAGGGTTTTTTTTTAGTCCAGCCTTTATTTCTATCTTCCATTTAATAAACTAGAAGACTGAGCTCTAAAGAAATCATGTGAGCTGTTATGGATACAGTGCATTTAAAAGTGACACAGGCCTGCAGCACAAGTGCCGAGTTATCAGTCCAGAGCGCTGCTAAACATTTTATGTTTGAAACAAGAGTCCATGTTAAGAAACCTCTTGCTCTCACACACCCACACAGACACACAGAGAACACTTCCCTTTTAATACTTTCTATTCTGCTCCATTCTTATTAATTTAAGAAGTTTTTCAGAATCCTGTAATTCAATTTCACAGCTCACTGATGACAATTATACTTTGAAAAACACTATTCTAGAATGCCATTTTTTTCTTTTCCCTCCCTCCCTGTCCCACCTGCCCCCCAGACCCTCAGGCACCGGTCACACTGACTGGGCCCTAGGACCACTGAGCGTTATGCCCCTGCACAGGGCATGGGGATAGAATGTCCATTTTCAAAACCTTTGTTTCTCAAATTAGAAATCAGAAAAGTGGTCTGGGGAGATGGCTCAATAGAATAAGCGCTTCCCTGGCAAATGCAAGGGCCTGAGTTCAATCCCTGGTTCCACCAAAAAAAGAAAAAGAAAGAAATCAGAAAAGCAGCAGGTGGAGTTAGAGATCTGGACATGGTGCAGCGCCTGCAGCTTCTCTTCTTTGAACTACAGGTCACAGGATGAAAAGGGCTGTTGGGGTCGGTCCTGTAATGGGCAACTTCTCAGCAAGACTGGCAGGAAGATAACTGAGAACCGTGCTTGCAGAGATAGAAACAGCTCACATTCTCTTCAAAGAAATATCTACCAAATGCCTATCAACATGGGAATGGATGAAAAAGATGCGATATTTTTACATAATGGAGTATTACTCAGCTATAAAGAAAGATTAACTTTTATAGGTTAATGGATGCAACTAGAGACACACTCATCAGTGAAATAAATCGTGCCTGCACATGGAAACGTTGTATTATCTCCCTAGTGTAAGAACCTGAAAGAGAAGGTACGATCCAAAGGATCCAATAGATACTGTGAAAGGGAAAGGAACTGTGTGAAGGGAACGAACAGCTGGGATGAGGGAAAAGAAAAGAGAAATGAAGGACACACACACACACACACACACACACATGCATGCATGATAGCTATGATAATTGTACAATTAATTTCTATTAGCTCATTGAAATGACCACTTAGCACTTATATTGTTTGATCATTTTGCATGCCTGTACCTGGTAATCTGAGCAACTACTTTGAGGATAACAATATGCACATGACAACCATTGGTAATTTTCTATCATCTTGTTTTGAAATTTTGTATCATTTTATGTTCTCTTTAAAATAAAAAGAAAGAAATATCTAAAGGTGACAGAACTCCTAAATACCAACGATGGAGGAATAACTATATACATGAGAGACTGTGTTCTGTGTTAGAACATTAGTTCACTTAACAATTCTAAGGAGGGTCCTGGCCTTTTGGAGAGCTTATCTAACTGATCTCAGAATTCTTTTTCTTTTTGTTCTTCATCTTTTAATGGAAAAATTGTTTTAAAAATTCATAACAAAATATTCCATGATCAATTCTTTTCTTTTTTTGTGGTACCGGGGATTGAACTCAGGACCTTGCACTTGCCAGGGAAGTGCTTATTCTACTGAGCCATCTCCCCAGCCTCCTCAGAACAAAATAATAGGAGGATAACAATAGTTAATACATTGAGTATTATTATCCTTAAAGTAGTTAGTCAGAATACAAGATATGGACATAGAAATTCTCCAAATGATATTAGGACAAGCTTTTCCTTTCAGTAAATAAGAGAAGCTAATAGTATAGCTATCTTTTATTTTTTCCTTTTGAACAATTTCTTTCCATTTCACAATATCTACTGTTCATTTCAGACCTTATTTACTCTTTGAATTCCTCACACCAGGGAGATGATACAATGTTTACATATAGAAGTCTGATTTATTTATCTTATGAGTATAGTCTCTAGTTGCACCCATTTACCTATAAAAGTCTCAAGTTTATCCTTCTTTATGGCTGAGTACTATTCCATTGTATAAAAAGATCACATCCTTTTTTTTTAATCCATTGCTCAGTTGGTGAGCATTTGGGTTGTTTCTAAAATTTAGTTGTTCCAGATTGTGCTGCTATAAACATGGGTGAATGTGTATCATTGTGGTATTATGCTTTTAATTCTTTTGGAAGACACTCAGAAAAGGAATGGCTGAGTCAAATGGAAACTCTAGCCCTAATATTTGAGGAATCTTCATACTGACTTCGCCAGTGGTTGCGCTAGCCTGCACTCCGACCAACAGTGGAGAAAGATTCTTTTTCACCTCATCACCTCCAGCATATTTTAATGGTTGACTGCTTGATGACAGCCATTTTTTATGGAGTAAGATGAAATCTCAGTTATGTTTTAATTTGAATGTCTTGAATAACCAGTGATGTTGAATGTTTTGCAAATATTTCCTCGCCATCTGAATTTCCTCACCTGAGAAGTGTGTATTCATCTTCAGATGCTCAGTTTTTGGATTGTCTTTGAATCTGGGGACCTGATTTTTTTCAACTCTTTGTACGCTCTGGATGTAAGTCCTTTGTCTGAGGTCCAAGTTGTTGACTCTGAAGTATTTTCGGTGTGGTCCGTGTTTTGTTTATGAAGTCTCTGCTCATACCTATGTCTTCAGGATTTCTTCTGACTTTCTCTTCCAGTAGTTATGTTTTAATATTTAGATCTTTGATCTATTTTTAGTTTAGTTCAGTGTGTGATGGTAGACATGGGTAGACATTAGTGTTCAGCATTTGGAAAGCCAGTTTTTCCATCAGTATTTATTAAAGAGGCTGTCTTTCCGCAGTGAATATGTGTGGCCTCTTTGTCAAAGATAAGGTGGTTGAGTACGTTTGTAGTTGTGTCTGCATCTTCTAATCTGCTCCATTGATCCTCAGGTCTGTTTTGTTGGGATTTTTTTTTTTGCCAGTACCATGCTGATTTTGTCATAGTAGCTTTGCAGTATAACTTCAAGTCAGGGATTGTGATGCCTACTGCCTTGCCCTTGTTATCCAGAACTGTTTTGCTATTATAGGTCCCTTCTGTTTTCAAATGAATTTTAGGAGTGTTTTCTACAGTTCTGTGAGGTATACTAACAGTATTTTGGTCAAGGTTGCATTAAATCTATGTAACAATTTTGGGAGTATGGCCATTTTCACTATGTTGGTTTTTCCTATTCAGGAACAGGGATATCTTTCCATTTTATGATATCTTCTTTAACCTTTCTCAGAGAACTGCAGCTTTCAATGTATAGCTCTTTTACTTCCTTTGTTAGATTGATTCCTAAGTTTTGGATGCTACTGTGAAGGGTGTGGATTCTGTAATTTCTCTCTTAGTGAATTTGTGTACAGAATGAAATTGATTTTTGACTGCTGACTTTGTATCAAGATATACTACTGAATTTGCTTAATAAATCTAGAATTCTTTTAGTGGAATTTTTGGGGTCTTTTATGTAGAGTATCATATCATCTGTGAAAAACAATAATTTAGCTTCTTTCCTATCTTTATACCTTTTATTTGTTTCTCCTGTCTAATTGCTCTGGCTAATATTTCTTGAATTGCATTCAATAGGAGTAGTGGTAGCAGACAACCCTGTCTTGTTCTTGATTTTAGAGTGAAGGCTTTCAGTTTTTGATAATTTAATATGATGTTGGCTATTGGTTTGTCAGAGAGGACTTTTATCAAATTAAGATAAAGACTATCTACTCCAGTTGGCCAAACTGCATACCTGGAATAAACCCTGCTTGGTCATTTGATGACTTGCTGCACTCTGTTTGTCATCACTTTATTGAGAATTTTTGCATCCATATCACTAGGGGGATTGTACAGTGATGTACAATCACTTTCTCTCTCTCTCTCTCTCTCTCTCTCTCTCTCTCTCTCTCTCTCTCTCTCTCTCTCTCAAATCCTTCTTTGGTTTTGGTGCAAGGATAATACTTGCTTCTAGAAATGATTTTGAGAGTGTTATTTTCCTGTCCATTTCAGTGAAGAGTTGGAATAGTAATGGCTTTAGATCTTCTCTGAGTTTCTTGCAGAACCCAGATGCATGTGTATCTGTTAGGACCTAAGCTTTTCTTAGCTGGTAGGTTTTTAATTAAATTTTCAATTTCATTGCCAAATAGGTTATTCAGAATTTTTATATCTCTTGATTCAGCTTTGGTAGTTCATATGTACCTAGGAATCCGTCTATTTTTTCTGTTTTCCATTTTATTAGAATAAAGTTTCTCAGAGTAGGTATTGATGATCTTCTGGATTTCTACAGAATCTGTGGTGACTTCACCCTTTTCATTCCTAATGGTATGATTTGAGTGTTTTCTTCCTTTTTTGCTATGGTTGACTAAAGATCTGTTGATTTATTTAATCTTTCAAAGAAATAATGCTTGGATTCATTCATTCTTTGAATTGTTTTTTTAATCTCAAATTAATTGCATGAATTTCTGCTCTGTTCTTTATCACTTCTTTCTTCATATAATTTTTGACTTGACTTATTCTTTTTTTAATAGAACTTTGACATTTAATATTAGGTTGTTTATTTGAGCTCTTTCTGTCTTTCTGACATGGGTTTCATCACTATAAATTTCCTTCTTACAATTGCTTTCATTGTATCCCATACATGGTGCTATGCTGTATCAGAATTGTCATTTAGCAGTAGACACTCTTTAATTTCTTCAGCTGTATTTGTGATCCATTGGTTGTTCAAGAGGGTGTTATTTAGTTTCCATGTGTCTCAGTTGTTTTCTCTCATTGTTGGGACAAAATACCCCACACCCAAAATTAAGGAAGAAAAGGTTTGCTTAGATCACATTTAGTGGAAGTTTCATACTTGGCTAGCTCAGTCCATACTCAGCTGGCTCCAAGACAGAGTCACATGTAGCAGAGGGCAGCAGCTCATGGCAGTAGAAAAACAGCAAAGAGGAAAGGGGGAGCAGTGGCTGTAGCAGCTAGCAAGCCTCTCCCTTCCTCACACTGTATGCAGATTACTCATCCCAGGACAGGTGTAGCACTCACACCCATAATCCCAGCAGTACTCACACCCATAATCCCCACATTGGATCATGAATTAATCACAAACTCTAGAAGCCACCTCAATGACTGCAGGAGGCTTTGCGGGGACAACTAGACACAAACCATAACACCATGTATTTATGAAGATTTTATGATTTCTTTTGCAGTTGATTTCCAATTCCATTACACTCTGGTCAGATAATATGCATAGGATTATTTCAATTCCTTTGCACTTACACATGTCCTATGGGCTAGCATATGGTCTATTTTAGAGACTCGCCCATGTGGAATTGAGAAGAAAGTGTACTATGATGTTTTGGGGTGGAACACTTTATAGATGTCTACTAAGTCCAGTTGTTCACAGGTTTCATTCAGTTCTAATATTTCTTTATTGATTTTTGTGTAGTTGCTCCACCTATTTGTGGCAGTGGGGCATTAACTTCCTCCCTTAATGTTGTGTTACTGCTCAGTTGATTTTTCATGTCTGTTAATACTTGTTTTCTATTGCCAAGTGCTCTTGTATTTGGTGCGCATGTATTTATGACTGTAATCTCAGAGTTTTCCCTTAATAAGAATGTAAAGACCTTCTTTATCTCCTTTGATCTGTCTTGGCTTGAAGCTCACATATTCTGCAGAGAGAATAGCTATCCCTGCTTTGCTCTGGGTTCCTGTCATATGCAATATTGTTTTCCATTCTTTGACTTTTGTTCTACGAATTTTCTTTCTAGTTAAATGTGGTTTTTGCATGCAGCATGTTGTTGGATGTTGCTTCTTAATCCATTCTGCCAGTCTTTTTTTTTTTTTTTTTTTTTTTGGATTGGTGAGTGGAGACTATTTACATTGATGATTACAACTGACATGTATTGATCTACCCTTGTCATATTATTACCTTCTGTTGGTTCCTTGTCTTTTCCCTGTGTAGTTGCTTTTCCTGCCTGGTGGCTTACTCCTACTGGTGTTCCTGGATTTGTGAACACTGATTTCTCTGTGCAATGTCTTTCAGAACACACTGTAGATCTGGTTTGGTGGTCATGAATTTCTTCAGTTGTTCTGTATCATGGAAGTATCATATTTCTCCATTAATTCTGAAAGAGAGTCTTTTTTTTTTTTTTTTTTTTTTAAGACAGGGTCACACTATATATTCTAGGCTGGCCTTTGCTTCACTATGTAACCCAGCCTGGACTTTCAAACATAGCAATCCTCCTGTCTTAACCTCCTAAGTGCTGGGATTGCAGGCATCAGACACCACACCTGGCTATTTGATATTATTCTTGTAATGAAGAAAGAAATTATACTTTCTTCTTGTGATGAAGAAGGAAATTATACCACCAGTGGTAAGGTGAGTGAAGCATCTTGATTATAGATTTTGCATTTGTAAAACTCATTTGACCCTCATCCTGCCCCTTCTAGATCCTGCCTGTATTTAAAATGTTAGTGATGCATGTAGCACGGAAATTTTTGGCAATGATTTTTATTTAAAAATAATGCATTATAATGTTATTTATGTTAGTTACCTAGAGTTTTGGCATTCCAGTTAAAAAGGAGGCATCAAATCAGGCTTTCTAAAATCCACCTCTTCAATTTCACTTAGTATTATGACTCAATAAATAATCTTTAAAAAATTAATTTTATTGGTATACTTTGACATGCAGAATGATCACATTCTTCATAGCAAATGTGCACTTGTACATCATATATGGCAATTACTTTCTTTTCCAATCCCTTTCCTCTACTTCAATCATTCTTCTCCCTTCATAAAACTTTGTTTCTACTGGTTTTCTTGTACTCTTTTTGGTTTTGGTTCCATCCCTGTTCCAACCCTTGTTCCCCTTTCCATGGGAACATTTTTCATCTTACTTCTCAATACTTATGCTCTATTTTGGTCCTTATTTACCCTCAAACAGTAATCCCAATGTTGTACCAATGATATTTCAGACATAGAAAATTCAACTGATAAGGTAGCGTATACAATAGCATCTGGCATACCTTTGCAGTTAAGAACAATCTGCAGACAATGAGGCAGGTGCAAACCATTGTTCCAGTTCTTCCTAGAAAAGAAAAGAAGCCAGTTCAAGGAGCCACTGTTCACTGAAGTGCTGGCATAAGAAACACTTGGAGCTGCTGATTTCTGCTGGTCTATTGAAAGGAGCAGTTAATGCTTAATTTTTTTTCTTCTTATTAATTTTTTATAACTTTCTCTAAACCAGTTTTTCAGGTTTATATTTGTTAACCTACACAATTCATTTGAAGATAACATTATGTAATACAACAACTATTAGGGCTTGGGAGATAGCTCAGTAGAAAAAGTGCTTGCCTGACAAGTGCAAGGGCCAGAGTTCAGTCCACAGCAAGAACCACAGTTCAATCCGCCAAAAAAAAAAAAAAAAAAAAAAAGTTAAATTTCTATTATCTGCTTAATGAAATTTTGTATCATATCTAATTTTTTTTTTACCATTTTGTACT